TCATTGGATGGACCTAGTATCTACGCCTCCTCTGCTCCTTCTCTTCAAGCAAGACTGTGGCTGTAGCAACTGCTGCCATGATCAAACAACAGGACATTACTGCTAACCACCACACACAGGCAAACCAAAAAGTCCAAAGGAAGATGGCAGCTTTCATATATGTTACAGAAGAAGATGACTGCTTAATTTTTGTCACAACAGTTATGTTTCATTGGCCAAAACTGAAATTGCAGCAGAAAATTGTGAAAATAAAAAATGCAACAAGTTGCATTGCAGTTGTACTACATAATTACATTAGAATGAAATTGCAGTTGCACCAGTGTGGACCAGGCCTAATGCAATTTTTAAAGGTGTAGCTGTCCTGGTAATATTGCCATGATGGTCTTTGTTTATGCACTTCTTGTTATAGAGCGACAAAAACCCTGTTCATGTCCCCCATGTTCTCCTGGATTGTCACCCTGCCGCACACTTTTGCAGGGGAGATAAGCTGCTGTGCCAGCATACATTGTACAGACATGTTCTACACTACTCAAAAAAAAAAATATTTTATAATACAGAGTGCTTTGGCAAAATGTCTTTCGGTTAGGCTTTACATTTCTGTTAATGCTGTTTAGAAGCATTTCATTCTCCATTTGTCATTGTTTGCTCTCACCTGCACGAAGTATAAATAAGTCGTGACATGCTTGGACTGAAAAAGCTACAGCTTAACCACCTCAAGCCCAGACCCTTTCACCCCCTTCCTGCCCAGGCCATTTTTCGGCGCTGTTACACTTGGAATGACAGTTACTCAGTTGTGCAACACTGTACCCAAATGAAATTTTTGAGACAGAGCTTTGTTTTGGTGGTACTTAAACACTACTGTATTTTTGTTTTTTTGCGAAGCCAAAAAATACCAAACATCTTCAACATAATCTTCATGAATTTAGGCCCAAGTACCAGTTTATAGTTTTTAGTCTGTGTGAAAGAGTCTACAACATATGGTGTGTGTGTGTGTGTGTTTGTATATATAAAAATTATATATATTTTTATTTTTTGCTTTTTTAATTGATCAGCCCTGATGTAATGATTGTCTAGCTAATTTCCTTAGGTCTTAAAATGCCAGGCTAGTACAAATACCCCCCAAATGACCCCTTTTTGGAAAGTAGGCAGTTCAAGGTATTTTAGTAAAGAGGCATGATATGTTTTCGAAAGTTGTAACAAGTTATTTCTCTCACACAGCATAGGCATACTTATAATTACACCCCAAAACACATTCTGTATGGGGTTACCACATGTGAGACTTTTTCATAGTCTGTAGAGGGGCATACAATCCAAGGATCACCTTTTGGGCTTTCAAAGAGCTGAAATTACACATTTAATTTCCTGACTACCTATCACATTTTTGGAGGCCCTGGAGCACCAAGACAGTGGAAACACCCACAAAATGACCACATTTTGGAAATGAAACACCTCAAGATATTAAAAGCCAAAGTGAGTCTTTTGAAGACTTAGTAGTTTTGACACAAGTTTTTGGAAAATGCAGAAAGAAAATGAAAATAAGCAATTTCTCACACATGCCATGGGCATATTTAGAATTACAACCCAAAACACAATTTTTTTTTTTTTTTTTTTGTAGGAAATCATTTACTGTGTAATGGCATCTATTAATAATGCCATTGTTTACTATTTTGACAGCTGTGATTGGCCCTGTACCATGTGATCAGTCACAGACCCCAGTAGTAAGTAGTGGCATAAGGAATGACAGCCATTTTTTTATTTATTTATTTTTACTACTGGGCATGTAATTTCTGTGATTGGTCACGGCGATTTCATTGTACTAGGGTGGAGCACAGCAGGCCAGTAAACCGGTTATCCAGTGTGTCCACCAGAGTTCCATGGGTTCATGGCTGGACCTCTCATTCTTCATTTATGCTATTGGTGCCAATGTTTGTACACTATGTATGACAGTTCTATTTTGTACTTGATTTTGCTACTCTATAATGTCCTATTAGTATTTGAAATCTTAATCAAAAAAGGGAAGCGTGTCTACCAGATCGCACTGCTGCATGCCCCTAGGGAGGCGCACTACTGGGAGGACATCCACGTACGCCCACTCAGAATTACGCTTTTCCCACCCGGCTATATATACACAATTGCTCTTCTTGCTGCTAGAATTCTATGGAAAGTCCGTCTTCTAGAGTGTTTAGGGATTTCAGTATCCAGCTTGTGTGAGAGAACAATTTCAGGTGATCTGGGGATGTTGAACCTGTCACTGAGAAAATTAAATTGATCAACCGGATCCAGAATTTAGTTACCTTGGGACAATGCTACCATATATGGAACATGGTTCCTGCTTGACCACAACATCTGAAACATTTTAGAATATGCGTGCTGGTGGAATCTGGCCACCCTAACAGGAATGAGGTACCACCTAAGTAAGGGTTTTTAATTAGACTCTAGGTTCTGTAATTAGACTGGTTGCATATAGTATCAACAGCTTGCCATTTTAAACAAAACTATATTCTTTTTTTCCCTTATCATAGTCCTTTTTTAATATTATATAAGTCTACCATGGTTTTTTTTCTGACAAAAAAGCACATTTAGGAGTCTGATCAATAAAAAATGCTGTTCTTTAACAATTTTCCTGCATGTGGGAAGAATTATTTCTGATGTCATAAAGGGCAAGTCAGAACAATTACCTTGATCAACATAATCTATATTGCCATTTTGAAATAACCATTAGTTGTAAAAATGATCCAGTTTATATTCTCTTTTGACCTACAGTGGATATAAAAAGTCTACACACCCCTGTTAAAATGTCAGGTTTCTGTGATGTAAAAGAATGAGACAAAGATAAATCATTTCTGAACTTTTTCCACCTTTAATGTAACCTATAAACTGTACAACAAACTTACATTTTAACAAGGGTGTGTAGACTTTTTATATCCACTGTATGTTATTTTCCTAACTGAGCATCTTGTCTTTTTGTACAGTTCTGTTTTGTGTCTCCCCCCCCCCCCTCCCCCTTTCACTGCCTGGTCCATATGGCATACAAAACTACAGCACTGCTTCCTGCTGGCCAGGTTCATATGCCGTACAGACCCGATTCCTGCTTCTGCTATGAGCCCATGGCCACTCCAGTGACCATGAACTTATAGCAGAACTGTTCAGCAGACTCTGCTGAACAAAACAATATTCACCTATAATGTGACCCGACCACCACAACCTGCCTGCCTGGCTGTCACCTACTGCTCTATGTCCCTCCACCTAATCTGCTGCCCTAGCCTCTAAAATGTGCCCACCACCTCACCCCTCCTCTGACACTAATCCCCCCCAACACTGTTCTCACCCCCAGCAGAAGCCATTTCCCCCCTCTGCCAGCACCGATCTCTGTTGCTGGATGAAATTGTCGATTTGCCACCGCTGTGACCCCCTCAACCTGGGTTCCCCCCCTCACCGATCCCATCCATGCAGCTCTGCTAGCCGTCTCTCCCTCCTCTCTCGCCAGCTCCAGCTGCTGTGTTCCGGGTCAGTCCAGGCAGTGAAGTGTCACAATGGAGAGCAGGGGGCACTAGTAAACGCGATCGCTACCGATCACTTCTGTTCATTCATTACTGAATTATAGTAAACAGTGTTTACTATATTTCAGTTTGTGAATGAATGGGAGTCTGTGTGCAGACTCCCATCTGATTCACTTACAGTGCAGCTCAAGCTGCAGAGAAAAGGACTGTCTTCAGTCCCTCTCTGTCTCAAAAAAGAGACATTAGGGGTGCTGATGGACAGGCCAGATCATGGGAGAGCACTGCCTGTCAGGGAGGTGGAGGATCAGACAAGTAAAACTGTTTCTCCTCTCCCATAGACAAAATGAGAAAGCTTCCAGAGCAGGACTGTGGACCTTGCTGTGGTCTTGATGACAACAGGGCTGTAGAGCATGGGGGTGCAGAAGCTGCGAGAACCAGCCTGTAGGGGGGGAGCAGAGGATCAGGGGTATATCTCTTTTTATTGTTCCCCCCCTAGACATAAATGAGCAATTAATCCTTGCATAGCAGGCACATCCCTACTGCAATGGATAACTTTTTATTTGCCTGGAGTTGGGCTTTAAAAATTCTTCAGAATTCTGTTTTGTCAGCAGAAATGTACCTTACCAGTTAAAAACTAGTAAAAGAAAAGTCTGTAAAGAACTGCACTCAGTAATCTGGCACCTCAAGAGAACCTGTCACTTTGTTCTCTATGGGCAAAGTGACACCTTCTATTTAATTCTCTACTCATAACCTATATATAAATATTAATCTAACACCTAATTTGTTGTATTGCGCTATGCACCATTCATTTTTTTCTCTCTGCGACGTGCACCCTAGCTTGTCAGATCTAACAAGATGGTACCACCACTGAGTATTTCTAACAATATTACTGTGAAGACTCTAGTTTTAATTTTTAATGTTCTAGAAGTTCTAATTTTACTTGGAAATTTGTGACCCTGAGATTTTACATGTGGAGGCAGGAATTCACATCAATAAATGAACCTAATGTAGCGATGGGCTTTATAGATATAAAGCTTTTTGATATTCATCCCACTCAGCACTGCACAGCTGCCACTTCAAAATTCAAAAGAAACCCATATACTGTCAGGATTGTTCCAAATGGAAATTGTGGTGTTCATGCAGAGCCACACTAGGAGAGCTGGTAGAATTTTGAAAGCTGTGTGGGGCTGAATGGGAACAGGTTTGACCTCTTTCACATTAGATGTTCATCATTGCCCAAATGGGTCATCTTGTTTCAGATAATGACACAATTTATAGAAAAAATCGCATCTGACTAGTTCTTACTATGTTTGCCAGTTTTTCAACAAACATAGAAATTGCATCCCTCCTCATGCTTATGGATATGTAATGACTTATTTTCTGTTCACATACCTGAAAAGCTTGCTAATGAACTATTTTTTTTCTTTTTTTTTATTTGAATATGCCTCAGGCTGACCGTGACATCATTCTGTGTTGTCTTCAAGCAAGTCTGTCATCACAATGAATCTTGTAGTGGCAAAGCTGTTGTGCCTGCTAGCAGTATTTGTACTGATGATGCTAGGTTCCCTTGGACCTGTCAAGCTAATTGTGCCAGATATCGAGAGAGCTTCTCATTCACAAAGGATCCTTTCCTTGTGTAATTCCTTTGCTGGAGGAGTATTCCTGGCTACGTGCTTCAATGCTCTGCTTCCTGCAGTGAGAGAAAAGGTATAAACGTGCTTTTATTTCTTTTTGCATAGAATCTTTTATTAGGATGCATTACTTTGGTTCAGTAACAATCAGCTGGTATCCCAGGGCTGCATAAATCTCTCCTGATCTTCTATTCTGCCCTTTTGGCCTCCTATTCCCGGGGCATATATACTTTTTGCACAGGCATCACTTGGACAGCCTTAATGGGGTGACTGACAGAAATAAAAACCTGACAGAAATGTAACTGTTCTCCCCTCTGTGCAAAATTTTAAAAAAGGCTAGAGTAAGGCCTTAATTTGACAGAAAATGAGGAAAAATCTATTCAACAGAGACAGAAATAGCAATTACAGTTTTAGAAAGGTAACTCCTTCCAAATGGCTGTTCACACATAGTACTGTAACTGGCATTTTTCTGAATAGAAGAACAACAGGTACCGCTAGGGCACAGAGAAAACATTTGTTTTGTATGTGCCTGTTCACAATGCAACGCAGCCCAGAGGTGCCATGTGCTGCTGTGAGCTGCAATTAAATGCACACATGCTGCATTTTATAGCAGCGCATAGGAAGGCACCACATGAATGAAGTATCACTTTGTACTATTGGTGCACTGAAATGAAAATTCTGGTGCCGAAACTGAAAATTTAGGATGCACTTGGATGAAAACTGACAGTTTTTAAAAAGTTATATATTTTTCAATTGCAATTTTTTTGAAAAAAAACAAAACACTTTAATGACTAAAAAAAAAGAAACCGCACAATATATACCGCTTTTTTTGTAAAATATGCAAGATGATGTTACGCCGAGTAAATAGTTACCCAACATGTCATACTTTAATATTGTGCACTCCCGTGGAATGGTGTCAAACTACGGTACTTAAAAATCTCCATGGGTGATGCTTTAAAAATGTCTACAGGTTACCAGTTTAAAGTTACAGAGGAGGTCTAGTGCTAGAATTATTGCTCTTGCTCTGACGTTCGTGGCGATACTTCACGTGTGTGGTTTAAACACCATTTACATGTGTGGGCATAGCCTACGTATGTATTCACTCTACACAGGGGGGGACTGGAGCACTTTAAACTATTATTTAAATTATTTATATATTTATTTTTACACTGTCCCTTTTAAAACATCACTTTTATTCCTATCACAAGGAATGCAAACATCCCTTGTGATAGAAATAAGCAGTGACAGGTCCTCCATTATGGAGAGATATGGGGTCAATGTGTTCGTTCCATGGTATATCGAATGCCTTGGAAATTCTTTTGTACCCTTCTCCTGACTGATACCTTCTAACAATGAGATCCCTCTGATGCTTTGGAAGCTCTCTGCGGACCATGGCTTTTGCTGTAGAATGCGACTAAGAAAATGTCAGCAAAGACCTACTAGAACAGCTGAACTTTATTTGGGGTTAATCAGAGGCACTTTAAATGATGGCAGGTGTGTACTGACTCCTATTTAACATAATTTTGAATGTGATTGCTTAATTCTGAACACAGCTATATCTCCATCTCCAGTTATAAGAGGGTGTGCACACTTATGCAACCACATTATTTTAGCTTTTTATTAGTATTGATCACTGTATTGGTGTCACTGGGGATGTCAGTGACACCAAGTCAGTTCCCCCCAGTATCTGAATGCCCCACTGTAGTCCCGCTATAAGTTGCTGATCTCCGCCATTACTAGTAAAAAATTAAAAAAAAAAAGTATATGTACCACCATTTGTAAACGCTATAAGTTTCATGTAAACCAATTAATTTACACATATTGAGATTTTTTTTTTTAGCAGACATGTAACAGAATACATTTTGCCCTAAATTTATGAGAAAATTAGATTTTTTTTTTAATTTTTGTTGGACATATTTAATAGCAAATAGTAAACAAATTTTTTTTTTTTCTCAAAATTGTTGGGCTTTTTTTTTTTTTTTTTTTTTATAGCGCAAAAAATAAAAACCGCACAGGCGATCAAATACCACCAAAAGAAAGCTCTATTCATGGGGAAAAAAAAGACGTAAATTTAATTTGAGTGCAGCGTTGCATGACTACGCAATTGTTGGTAAAGTAATGCAGCACCGTAATGCGAAAAATGGCCGGGTCAGGAAGGTAGGGCAGGGTAATTCCTCTGGAGGGCAAATGGTTAAAAAAAAATTGTCAAAAGGAACTGTGTGTGTGCGCTCACACCACCCCCTACGGCCAGCTCACTGCAACTGAAATTGGTGGCTGGCCACGAACTATACTGCTCTGTTTTGAACAATATTTGAAACTTTTTTTTTTGGCCTTATTTAATAAAGATTGCCAATTCTTAGGTGCAGTAATGCAATGCTTTTACAAATCAAGGAGGTTTAGAGAGAGTGGTTAAAGCAGAATTATTTCCCCTCTTCATTCCCTTACTGATGCAGATATCTTCACAATTTTGAGATTTTCAACCATTTTGAATGGCTGGGTCAGGATGAAGCAACTCCTGTGCATGCACACGAGAGTTCATTCATTCAAGCAGGTGCCAGGATTGTACATTGAAACATGGTATTTCTGTTCTGCAAGCCTGGTTCTTCCAGAATATTTAGTTTCTCTGTAAAGTTCAGCTTTAGAGTAGGAGAAGCCTAGTAAATTTCTCAGATCCCAATATAGTGGTAAATACTCAATCCTTCCTAACTTTTATCCATATATTTTACGAATCGGCACTCTGTTGAATAAAGCAAGTCTTATTTTGTTGTGCAAAGATTTGAAAAACATATATACATTTTGAAATGGGTTTTTTTCTTTGTTTTTCAGTTTGAGGAAGTTCTAAAAATGGGCAATGTCAACACAGACTATCCACTGGCAGAGACTATTATGCTAGTTGGATTTTTCCTCACAGTCTTTGTGGAGCAATTAATCTTAACATTCCGGAAAGAAAAACGTTCATTCTATGATTTGGAAACCTTTAATGTAGGATCCGATGCTGGTAGTGACTCTGAATATGAAAGCCCATTTATATCCTCCAACCAGGACAACAACCAATATGAAAGAGGTCACAGCCACCACGCTCATAGCCTAAATATCAGAGAGCTCTCCAGATCTGGACCCCTTCGACTTGTCAGCTTGGTGTTTGCACTCTCTGCCCATTCAGTTTTTGAAGGTTTGGCACTTGGTTTGCAGGAACAGGGGGATAAGGTGCTGAACCTCTTCATAGGTGTTGTAATTCATGAAACATTAATTGCTGTGGCAATGGGGGTGAACATGGCAAAAGTAAAAACTTCAATGAGAGATGCTGTGAAGATGGCTGTTTTAGTGAGTATAATGATTCCAATAGGTATCTCGATTGGAATGGCCATTGAGAGTGCCCAGAACATGGCGAGCAGTATTACTTCAGCTCTTTTGCAAGGCATTGCAGGGGGGACTTTCCTCTTTGTTACCTTTTTTGAAATTTTAGTGAAAGAGCTTGAGGATAAATATGATCGTTTACTGAAAGTACTTTTCTTGGTTCTTGGATATGCTGTTTTAGCAATATTAGTCTTCTTTAAATGGTAGATAAGAAAGGGAGTATGTGTATTTATATATCTTCCAGTATAGTAAATTCACTATTTTCTTTTTCCTAGCCTTGGTTACAGTCGTGCCAGTAACAAAAGCACGGTTTTATTTATACCCATTTTAAAAAACACTATAATGTCCCTCTTTTTTTCTCGTGGGGGGGGGGTGCATGGAAGGACCCAAATTACAACTCTCCTTTTAATGCATTTTCTATTGTTAATAGAAGCCTTGTTCTTTGACAGAAACTATAATGGTTTTGGTCAATTTTATTTATTTTTAAGTGTATAAGTTTTGTAATCTGTTTTTAAATTTTATTTATTAAAATATTTATTTTACAAATTATTTTATACAGGGTCACCTATACACTGGTGTCACAGGGCATTATGGGGTTTCTAAAGAATTAAACACTGTAGAAACAGTTTGCCTTTAGAGTGTCTATTTGTGTGTCTCTCTTTCTATCTGTCTCAGTTTGAGTTTGTATTCATAAAGTATTCAGACCCCCTACACGTTTTTCAATTTTGTTATGTTGCAGCCTAATACTACAGTTTTTTTTATTTTTTTTTCTCATTAATCTACACTCAGTGCCCCATAATGACAACTGAATTTTCAAAAAGAAACACTTGAAATTTAGCTCAGGTGCCTCTTATTTCTCTTGGTCGTTGCTGAGATGTTTCTGCACCTTGATTGCACCCGTGGTATATATTTAAGTGATAGAACATAATTTGGAGAGACATGCATAAAAGACCTTACAGCTGACAATGCATACTGTATCAGAGCAAAAGCTGTGAAGTCAAAGGAACTGCATGCAGAGCTCAGAGACAGGATTATTGCAAGGCACAGATCTGGGGGAAAGCTACAAAAATGTTGCTGTACTGAAGGTTCCCAAGAGCACAGTGGCCTCCATAATTTTCAAATGGAAGAAGTTTGGCACAGCCAGGACTCTTCCAAGAGCTGGTCACCCAGCCAAACTGAGCAATCTGGGGAGAAGGGCCTTCGTAAAAGAGGTGAATAAGAACCAATGGACACTCCGACTAAGCCTCAGATATCCTGTGTGGAGATGGGACAAAGGTCCAGGACAACCACCACTGTAGCCTTCCACCGATCTGGGCTAGACTGAGGCCTCTCCACCAGTGTAAAACTCATGAAAGCCCACTTGGAATTTGCAAAAAAAAAAAAACACCTGAAGGACTCTTGACTGTGAGGAACAAGATTCTTTGGTCTGATGAAACCAAGATTGAACTGTTTGACCTCAATTCTAAATGTTATGTTAGGAAGAAACCAAGCACCACTTATCACCTGCCCAATACCATCCCAACAGTGAAGCATGACTGTGGCAGCATCATGCTATGGGGGTGATTTTTCAGCAGCAGGGACAGGGAGACTGGTCAGGGTTGAGGGAAAACTGAATGGATCAAAGTACAGAGATATCCTCAATGAAAATCTGTTCCACATTGCTCAGGACCTCAGACTGGGCTGAGGCTCACCTTCCAACATGGCAACAATCCTAACCACATAGCCAAGACAACATAGACCTAAACATACATACTCAAGCGCTCACAAAAGACACTTGTATCACAGTTTCAATAGTCTACCAAGTAAAAGTATGAATTAGCAGTCAATAGGTGGCAGGAGATTCACTGCTGTCAAGGGGAGCCACATGATTAAAATAAATAGCTATGCAGTGGAGACTAGACAAAAAATACTAATGAAGGCATAACTAATGATCTGCAGATCCAGGTGATTCAGATCAAGGAAAGATCCCCGGGAAGAGTGCATAGCCAGGGCACTGGATCAGTATAAAAGTTAAAGTTTATTAAAACATCACTGGAAGACTTACATTACAAGTCAGGGGCCACTGAGCTGGATGTTAATATGCCACACTGCTGCAGATCAAACTTTCAGCCCTTTGCCCCGCTTGGTGGACTTGATACTGCAAACCAGGAAGGCTGAGCAGCACTGGAATTGTATTCACTCGGGAGAACCGGGAGATGAAATGCCAGACCTCCAGGGGTACAGACCACTGTCAGCGTGTGAGGCTTTCCTCTGGACCACTCAGTCAGATGGTTGAGTGGACAGACGGACAAACATGTTTCAGGAACCCGCCCCTTTGTCACCATCATGCTTTGTCTGCCCAATGGTCCTGGTCTAGCAGTCCTATATCTCACACTGCTGTTGAGTGGATCCCCCACTCACCTTGCTGTCCTGAGTCCCTATGAGTGACTCCAGTGCTGCTCAGCTCTCCTGGTTTGCAGCATCAATCCCACCGAGTGGCGCAGAGGTTTCTGTGTAAATGCGGACTGCTTTTTGATCTACAGTGGTGGGTCATACTGCCATCCAATGGTTCCTGGCTTATTTCTGCTGTTCACAGCTCCACAATTTCACCTCTGAAGTGTTTCCCAAAGACTGTAATGTAAGTCTTCCAGTGATGTTTTAATAAACTTTGACTTTTATATTATTGATCCTGCTGTCTGACTACTTGTGTGAACTCTTATGTGAATGTCCTAGAGTGGCCCAGCCAGAGTCCTGATTTGAACCCTATTGAACATCTCTGGAGAGACCTGAAAATGGCTGTCCACTGATGGTTCCCATTCAACCTGACTGAGCTTGAGTGGATTTGCAAAGAAGAATGGCAGAAATTCCCCCAATCCAGGTGTGCAAAGCTTTATAGTCGTGTCATACCCAAAAAGACTTAGTGTTACTAAACCCAGGACCGTGCATTCACTCTATCTGTTCTCCCACAGTACACAGAACATGGTGCAAGTACAATTTTTTTAGTGAATATAAACTGCTAAATACTTTTTCTCATCAGCAGTTAGAGCAATCTTGTGACTTCTATCAGTGTCCAGCTGAGCACATGTTAAAGCCTGTAGGAGGAGTTTTCATTCTGCTCTAGGAGGATGCAGAACCCCTGACCTCTGGACAATGCTGATTGGCCCTGTGCTGATCACATGCACTCTCCCAAGAAAAAAAAAAACTCTCTAGCAATACACACCAAACAGCATGTGCAGAGCGTCTCCACACTATTGTGTGGAGATAAGAGGGGGACACTGGAAGAAGGGGAGGATCAGAGAAGACAGGATCAAACAGCGGTTTTACACAATGCAGAGGATTAACCCCTTAGGTTCCATAGTGAGTATAACAAGCATGCTTTACTGCATATACAGACTTATTTTACTGTTGGTTTAGTAACCCTTTAAGGTTGTAATTGCTGCCAAGGTTGCTTCAACAAAGTACTGAGTAAAGGGTCTGAATACTTAAGTACATGTGATATTTCAGTTTTTTTCTTTTTAATTCAGACATTTCTAACATTCTGAGTTCACTTTGTCATTATGGGATACAGAGTGTAGATTAATGAGGAAAAAAATTATTTAAACAGCTGTAGTATCAGGCTGCAACATAACAAAATTTAAAAAAGTGAAGGGGGTCTGATGACTTTATGAATGCACTGTATAGTGGGAAGGCAGATATTTTGTTTTCTTTTCCACTTAAATTGTCTGCTAGCTACTATTAACAGGCACCTGAATCCTACCTTCATCCTTCTACTCTTGGTCATCATAGGTAGGTCTTTCTGATACTTGATAACACAGGAGCCATTGATTTTCTAATCAGAAAATGAATTACTAGATGTAGACAGAACTCATTTTATATAGTAAAATGTAGCCATACATTAGCTGTGCAAAGTTTAAAATATTACCGTAGAACAAGACTCCAGGCATACAGCTAAATACATAGCATTATTACATATGCTTTGGTGTCTACCAACCAAAGGATCTCAACACCTGTGCAACCAGTCTTGTGATTTTATAGGACATACTTTGGCAGGTTAAGCTGAATTCCAGGTATCGATTTTATAGCATAGTTAAATTTGGTCCAGCTTGTTTTATGATGCTCCATAGGAGACACCTTTGGGTGTGTGCCCCTGCAGGCACTCTGTGCCTCTTCTTCTCAAAGATGCATCCATAACATATCCATCCACATCCACCCCCCGGAATTTGGGGAAGTGAAAGTGTAAAAATGTAAGTAAATTGGCACATTGACATTATATTATGTAAAAATAGTGGAGCCTTTAGTATTACTTTATTTTGTTAATCACTTATGTAAAGTCTAAGATCTATGAATCCCATCTAACCCTCTCCTCTAAGATACAGTACAGTGAGTGAGCATAGCCATCCTAAGTCAGGAGGTGAGTTACTGGCTAAATCATAAAGTATAAATAGTTATTCTCTTACTTTCCATGCTTTGAACCTCCAAATCTTATAAACAGATCTAACCTTGTTCTTTGTAGGGATAGCTCTTTCTTTTGTAGAACAGACTTGCTTTGATTGTTGTGACAGTAGGCCCAGATGATGCGAGGAAAAATATGGAACTTGGCATACAGTGTCTCCCAGAAGTGAGTACACCCCTCACATTTTTGTAAATATTTTATTATATCTTTTCATGTGACAACACTGAAGAAATGGCACTTTCCTACAATGTAAAGTAGTGAGTGTATAGCTTGTATAACAGTGCAAATTTGCTGTCCCTTCAAAATAACTCAACACAGCCATTAATGTCTAAACCGCTGGCAACAAAAGTGAGTACACCCCTAAGTGAAAATGTCCAAATTGGGACCAAAGTGTCAATATTTTGTGTGGCCATCATTATTTCCCAGCACTGCCTTAACTCTCTTGGGCATGGAGTTCACCAGAGCTTCACAGGTTGCCACTGGAGTCCTCTTCCACTCCTCGATGACGACATCACGGAGCTGGTGGATGTTAGAGACCTTGCGGTCCTCCACCTTCCGTTTGAGGATGTCCCACAGATGCTCAATAGGGTTTAGTTCTGGAGACATGCTTGGCCAGTCCATCACCTTTTCCCTCAGCTTCTTTAGCAAGGCAGTGGTCGTCTTGGATGTGTGTTTGGGGTCGTTATCATGTTGGAATACTGCCCTGGAGCCCAGTCTTATAAAACCAAACCTCTTATAGCCTAGGCCATCTTTATGTAGAGCAACAATTCTCTTT